TTTCATTCATTTCGTTATAAAGTTGATTAGACATATTGTGCAAAATTTTCAAATGTTACTTGAACTAATCTTTAACCAAGTTTTAGAATTTAAGATTGAATATTTTTGTTTGATCTGAAATTAAATATGTATATGATACATTAATTAATAGCATATATTATAGATATGACATCCAATTTAGCTAAGACAACAAGTCACGCTAAACGACCATATTTTGTTAATTTAGCACTTCAAAAAGATCCTGTTGTAACACATCCAAAACCAGTAGTTACTTTCGTTGATAATGTATCACCTACTCATGTTAATGTTGAAGAATTACCAACAACTGATACAATTGTCAATGAATTGCCACCAGTCGATTTACATGTTAGTGTTATATCACAACCACAGATGATTGTTGATGAATTACCTCTAGCTACTCCATCAATTAAACTAACTAGTGCTCGTTCAATCTCTGCTACATCATCTGTATTGTAAGGAAACTATTCAGATATACATATATCAATGTTAATATGATTGATATTATAGGAAGAATCGATCAGAAAATATAACATCTAAACTAGCAACACCATTGATGAAATCTACTAGTGGTATTTCACCATTGGTTCCACTTGTGGGCTCAGCAATATTACTTGTTATAATTGGGACGGCAGCTGTTTTTTTACCACCTTTTCTTTTATCACTTCAAACTCATCGAGGTAAATCTATAATATCGAAATGAAATCTTATAATGATTTGTTCTACATAGATTATTCTTGTTCTCCTGGGTGTTGGAATGGTGGTAGTTGTTTAGCCCAAAATGTTTGCAGTTGTTTAGCAGGCTATGAAGGAGATCGTTGTCAAACAAGTAAGATCATTTGTATAATATCTCTAAAAGAAATTATACTTTTATAAAATTTCATTCTGAATACAATCAAGTTAAGAAGTCACTTTTTAAATAATAATTAGTATGAATTTCCTTTAATTAGCAAGTTTTTTATGTCTAAAGATAGATTAAGTAAATATACAGTTTAAAGATCATCGAAGTATTTTTGTTATTGTTTCTCAACGTATAAATCGCAGCTGTTTCTTGTTCAGGCTTCTTTTTCTATCAATGAATATATCGATTATGGGTATCTGTGAAACAGTTTCATCTATATTCTGAAATTTTAAGATGATTATATATCTCATTGCTAAAAACTAGGTGGCAGAAGACTAAAACAGCCTAGTTTCTTGCGCTGTTCTATATCAGTAATCATGACTTCGGCGATTGTCATACCAGCAAAATGCATACTAAGCAATTGGTTCAATTTATAACAGTGTCAAATAAAAATATTTTAGATGACAGAGACAAAACTTTTCACACACTTTGACAAAGAACGTTTTTTCACTTAATATATGTCTCCTATCTATTAAGAAAGAGAAATATATTCATTTTTGTAGTCTATTTCGACAGATAATATCTAACGGCAGTTTTCTTTTGATTGTATTTCTTATTTAAATTATTTGTATAGGGTTTCTTATCTTGATATTGATATAGATATAAGAGTATATATGTTTTCAAAATAAAATAACTAAACATATATAATTGCATATAAATGAATGAAATTTTCAAAAGAATTTCAAATGCGGTTATGTTCTATTATTCAAATACTTTTTGATTAGAATGAATAATAACAATCTACTTAGATATTTTTTTTTTGAACAGCTATATGCAATCAGAGTTGTAATTATGGTGTCTGTGCACAACCTTATACATGTACTTGTCAAGCTGGTTGGAGTGGTACTTTTTGTGATCAACGTAAATTACAATTTTTTAACATAATGAATGAATTGTATTTGAATAATTGTTATTATTTTTAGCTATTTGTACACCAGCATGTGTCAATGGTAACTGTACTCTGCCCAATTATTGCAGGTTTATTTTTTTATTTCTTTTTTTCTTTATAGTATAGTTTATATTTTTATTTACATATTGTTTACTATAGCTGTGATGTTCAATACACTGGTTATCTATGTTTAACACGTAATTAGTATTATTTAAATTCATTATATAATAAATTTGATATAACTTCTATTTTAGCTGTTTGTTCACCTTCGTGTGTACATGGATTTTGTACATCACCAAACAACTGCACGTAAGTGATTTCTTCTAGAATTCTTTGATAAAATATGAACTCATATGAAAATTAGATGTAATGTGGGTTGGAATGGAACAATTTGTGATGAACGTAAATAATTTAATATATTCAATTATAAAACCTTCTAATTGTTATATTTATAGCAATATGTTCACCATCATGTGTTAATGGAAATTGCACATATCCGAATGTTTGTAATTGTAGTACAGGTTGGAAAGATAGTACATGTAGTACTCGTGAGTATTCTCTCAATAGATATTGATATAATATGAAAATTGTATCTTTTTCTTTTATGTTGTTGAATAGCTATTTGCTCACCTGATTGTATGCATGATTCGAATTGTACTGCTCCTGATACATGTGTTTGTTCAGCAGGTTACAATGGTAGCTATTGTCAATATCGTAAGTGTTTTTTTTTTTATTATTGATCATTTCTATTCAAAACATTGGTCTATCTTTTGTGTATAGCTATTTGTCCATTAGGTTGCTTGCATGATGGTAATTGTGTGAGTGAACAATCAAGTTTTTATTTTTTTTATTTTCTGTTAAAATTTGATTTGTTTATCAGACTGCACCATCAAATTGCACATGTCCATCAACATATACTGGTTCAATATGTGAAGATCGTTAGTAATATTTATTAAATATTATATTTACATTGTCAATCATATTTTAGCTGTATGTAGAAATTCATGCTCAAACAATGGAAATTGTACAGGTAATGTTTTATCAGATAGATTGAATTAATGAAATATTATATGTTTTTTTTAAAGCACCAGACAATTGTACTTGTGCTACTGGATGGACAGGTCAAATTTGTGAAACACGTATGTTATCTATTATTTTTATTTAGTTTAATATTTTAATTATTTGAAATCATTCCAGCTATTTGTACATTGCCTTGTTTAAATGGTGGTACTTGTGTATGTTAACTTCATTGAAAATTAATTTCAGATTTTGATATATACATGTTTTTGATTAGATTTCACCAGATAATTGTTCTTGTGATACTACTAATTGGGATGGATTACAATGTGAAACACGTAATATATATTTTAGATTTTCTTTTTATATTGACTTTTGATTATTATTTCATTTTAGCTATATGTAGTCGTAATTGTACAAATGGTGGAAAATGTGGACCAACTCCACATACCTGGTATGTCTAAATATAGTGTTTGTTCATTTATATTATTGATATTTTTTTAATCTAATTAGTAATTGTACGGTTAATTGGACTGATTCAGTTTGTAGTACTCGTAAGTCTCTTTTTTTTTAAATGATTTTAAATTGAAATAAATGATTTTCATTCAGCTGTTTGCTCAAATTCATGTAAAAATCAAGGTACATGTGTTTGTATGTATAATTAATTTATTTGTTATTTTCTATAATAACACTAAATTCTTGTTTAGCACCAAACAATTGTACATGTCCGATCGGTTATAATGGAACTGTCTGTGAATATCGTATGCTAATAATATTTTATGAATAATAGAAATAAGACCTTTTCTTTTTTTTGAAATTTTTACAGCTATTTGTGTAGAAAGTTGTAGTAATGGAGGTACATGTGTAGCACCAAATCAATGCAATTGTACAAGTTCATGGTCAGGACTTTCATGTCTTATACCAAGATGTAATCCATATTGTCAAAATGGAGGTAAGATAATTTACATTCGATATCTGATAATGTGAATAGTTATATATATATATATAATTAAAACTTGATATAATTCATATTGAAAAATTCATGAGAAAACATAAACTTAGAAAAAAATGATAATAATGAAGATCTTCTATTATCTAATATATGAACTTTATCTTTATTGAATTTGATAATTATAGGAGTCTGTATTGCTCCAAGCACTTGTCTTTGTGATAATACAGCTTGGAATGGATCTTATTGTCAACTTCGTAAGTTAATCCAATTTAGACTAACTTGAAAATGTTAGCACAATTTTCTCTTTCTTCAACTAGCAATATGTTCAGCATCTTGTCAGCATGGTGGCACATGCATAGGTCCTAATATTTGTCAATGTAAGAAATAAAATTATAATAGTCACATTGATTTTTTAAAGTTATATTTTTGTTAATTTCAAGGTACCACAGGTTATACTGGAGATCTTTGTCAAGAACGTATGTATTGAAAAATTTTCTAAATAATATAAAATATCTCATGAAATAATTTTTACAGCGTTGTGTATACCTGTAAACTTTCATGATGAAACTGATTATCAAGGACCCAATGCTACCTGTCAAAATGGTGGTACATGTATATCACCAAATACTTGTTTAGTTAGTCTAATGTTCATTTGAAAAATACTTAACTAATTAATTTTCATCTATAGTGTACTTCATTGTGGAATGGTACCTATTGTCAAACACCTATTTGCACTCTACCATGTGTCAATGGAGGGAACTGTTCATCGCCAGATGTCTGTACATGTAATACTACTCAGTGGAATGGTACCCAATGTGAAACACCTGTTTGTGATCCACCATGTCTCAATGGGGGAAACTGTTCATCACCAGGCGTCTGTACCTGCAATACTACTCAATGGAATGGAACTCAATGTGAAACACCTGTTTGTGATCCACCATGTCTCAATGGAGGGAACTGTTCATCGCCAGGCGTCTGTATCTGTAATACTACTCAATGGAATGGAACTCAATGTGAAACACCTGTTTGTGATCCTGCATGTGAGAACAATGGCAACTGCACAGCGCCTGATGTTTGTGCATGTACGCCCGAATGGACTGGCTCAGATTGCAACACTAGTATGTATTGTAATTGTAAGAGAGAATTTTAAGTTACGTTGAGATATTGACAGAATAGAGTTAAGTAAACAATGGCTTTATCCATTCTTTTTTTACCTATTTATAAGTTGAATCCATTACTTACGCATTTAATTTATAGTGTAGGAACAGAAATGATTCATATTATTTTTGTATTATCAAATAACTAAGATATTTTTCTCATTTTAATAGCTAATTGTCACCTATGCGCAGGCTCGTCGTATAATGCATCATGCTACAATTGCAGTTGGACGAATAATTACTGTACGGTCGGCTGTGTTTGCGACTATAATTCTACTAACTATACAACATCAGTTACTTTGCAAACAGGTCTTGGTAACGGATGTGTTCTGGACAACATCGATGGGACTCTTAACTGCACCAGTTCTTGCTAATGACATTTTTAACATAGACGAACACAACATACTGTCTTCTCATTACGCTTGCAAGAAAATAGATTTTCGATTTGACATTGAATTTATTTTTACATCTTGATTTTTATTTTTATACTTTCAACTTCTAAGGCTTTCTTACTAATTTTGGAACGCATAAAATATAAATGACTTCAAGTAATACTTCTATGGTATTGCTGCATTGCATATGATACTATGATTCTCGCAGTCGACAATTAACAATTAAATATAATCATTTCAACTTTAAAAAGAAAAATAGCATTTTCTTTTGAATGAGTCGCAACAATTCATGTTTATATTGAATCTCGATTTTTATACCACTGAAAAAATGCTTAAGAAGTGTCACGTTTTAATTACTGATAGCTCCTTCACAAATATAAATATTATCAATCATGCTAATCAATAGTTCTAAAATATACATCTCAATTTGTTGCCATCAATTGCCATTTTTTCGCTCATATTTTCATGTAGCAGAATAATAGATGTTGATTTCATAAGTAGTCCAATTAGGACATGACCGTACTTACTAAAATATAATGTGTTGCATGCGTCGTACTCTTTGCGACACATTTCGAAAACATAGTTCGAATTTGGTGGACAGCGCATTTTTCATTTTTGTTTGCTGTAAGAGCGAACTATGACACTTTTTTCAAATTAGTTGCAATTAATTATACTGACTCTAAAAACTCAAGCATAAGAGATCTTGAGATTCGTCCCTCTTGAGCTGGTCTGATTTTCATCAGATTGTTTCAAAGTAGTCATCTCTCGATCATCGATTGAGATCGGTATTTTTTCGACTAATAACTAATCGAGAAACAAATAGGAAAAAAAGACACCAAAATATATAACAGCCGTGTGTTCAATCAAACTAGCTATATGTAGCTATGTCTGCAAAACAAAAGGGTGAATGAATAGTCAACATACTTAACGCGAAAAATTCATATACGACACATTCTAATGTCGACACATTTTCGTGATAGAGTCTGGAACACAATAACTCGCAATGCATAAGTGCAACACATTTTGTTTTAATGTCTAAACGTCTATTAATTTGTATTTCTCTATTAAACTTTTGATAATATTGATTAGCCATCTTGATACCTGAAGATAGTTCTATGCTAATAATTGTGAGTAATGAAAATGATATAGATTTGTTTATTCACACTTTAGTTCTATTACATGGATTTAGACCAGCATGTAAATCTTCACAATATGTTTATTGTTTTCAATTGAGTAACTCACCTATAGAAGTACTGTTTTGTCAATCAATCAAATAATTAGATGATCAAGTTTGATGAAATTTTGAACATAAGTGTGTATTGATGAAGAAATGCACAATGTCGTCAGACATACTTTTGCTCAATTATTAGTCTCAAAAAAAGATTTACGTATGTATATCGGTTACTTTTTAGTCGAATAAATCATCTAAAATACAATATTTATATACGTATAGTTATGAATTTATATCAAATAATCTCATTGCATAGAAATGACTTCATCTAGTATTTATTCTCTCTTATGACTTCGTGAAGAACAGATGCATTTCGTTTCGTTATCGCTAACATTTTCCTTACGTCTTTCTCTTTAAGTGTACAACAGAGCGATTATGCTAAAAGAAATGACTACCAATCCAAATATTGGTTATTTTACAACGATATAATATTATGAACAACAAAGCTCTATTTCAGATGAACAAATAAAGTGATCGCAAAGTTTTTATTGGAGTGTCCGACAGCAGCGCACAATGTGCATAATTATCTGCAACAGCAACTCGATTGACCAATTAACTCTACGCCCAAAAGGAGTCACCCACTAGACAATAGCGGCAGTTCTACAAACAATTGAACCGGTCGACGCCAACGTTTCAGAAAAAAAATTTCAAAAAACAAAAGAGAAGTACATTCATGCTATTCAACCAGAAAGTTCACAACCCATTAGACAGTTACTTCCATTCTTGTCATCAGAGTTTCAACAAGGCTCAAATCAAAATGCAAACCAAAGTAAAACGTTTCTACGTCGATCAGCTGAAGCATGCAGTTTCATCTAAGCTGCCATGCTTCCTCATACAACTTGCATCTGATGTGGCTTACAATAAGGTTTCATCAGCAATACAAGCAAGTTACCTAATATTCAAACAATTACAAGCGAAAGAGGTTACAATTAATCGATTTTTTTTTGTTGAGGCCCCCCCCCCCCCTCAAAAACCGATCTCAGCCCAGGCGTGTTCAAGTGAGCGGAAATTTGGAGCATATGTTGGGGCTGAAGTGTGGAGGCTGTGATAAAATTTTCAGCTCGATAACCTGACGTTTGACAGAGATATGAACCAAACAAGGGTCGAAAAATAGCTCATGTTCTGTCCAAGATTTCTCGGTTCAGGCTCTGTGAATATATTTAAATTTGTTTTTGTTTGAAAGAGCGCGTCGAGATGCAGGGCATCACAGAGTCCTTTTTTAAAATTTTTACTTTTTTAGCGGAAAATAGGGATCACAAGTTCAATGACTCAAAAAACGCACCAAACATGGGTGCCTCTGTCTGTATATATAGTAAAAAACAAAACTTAATTAAAAAAAGGACTCTGGCGCCCTGCATCTTGACACGCTCTTTCAAACACAAAAAAAAATTAAATATATTGAAAGAGCCTGGACCGAGAAATCTTGGACAGAAGATCAAAAAGTAACAAACCGAGAAAAAATGAAAAATATTTTGTGATTTTTCAAAAAACCGCTGGTTTTTCGAATAGAGAGTCTCGAAAAACTTGAAACATTTTTTGGAAAAAATGAGGTATCGAGGAAAACTTTTTATCGCTTATGAAAGAGCAGATAACAGGCTATCTCCCCATGCATTTATCTCAATTTCGAAAATTTTGACGAAAATTGACTTTTTTTAGGGGGGCTTGACTGAGCAGGTAAAAATTAAAAACTGGGCCTAAATAATAAAAACGACAATGTTAATCTCATTGCAACTGATGAATGGCCTGTAAAGATCAACGGAATTTATATTGAAGTTATAAAACCGAAATTCGTACCAGACTCATTCGTACTCGTTGTTCGTTATGTGCCTCGTGAACAAGACGATGGTTTTGTTGCAAGTGAGATACAAAGGACAATTGCATCAGCTGAAAGAATAAATCGGATCCAGTATACATATAAAAAAAAATCAATTGATTACCAGCGCTTGATGTCAAAGATTATCAAGAATATCAATCTGCACTGAGATTCAGTCGTATTGGCAATAGGCTACTCATGGTTATCTATTACGTCATTTTTCCGATAACCGTCTAATGTATGGCATCAGACGTTGGTGTATCGGTCATTTAAGAAACAAATGTAATGTACCAGCAAGATGCCAAATATCCCTTATGATCCTTGCGGATAACTCTCAACATGTATGCAATAATGAACCAAAATGTGCTCAGTACGATGGGGAACATCGCTCAATCGATAATCAATGTCATGTCATATGAGAGTATAAGCATCGATTAATAGAATATGTGGAAGAGACAATTAACAGTGATAAACTTCATCGCGTGGTAGTAAAGAAACAAGCAACTTCGTTTGAGCTACACGAAAAAGATTTTCTAATTTTAAAAAAAGTCAACAATTACTCTCTAAAGTACCAAATATTCAAGAACAAGAGCGTACAACATGTTAGTAGAATACAACAATAACACTAGAAACAGAAAAATCAATATAGAGTATGAGTTATGAGCCGCCAAAGCTGCTAGGCAGTAATAAACGAGTAGAAAACAAAATGGATCAACTAAAAGTCGAATTGAAAACGGTTATACTTGACATTCAATTACGTCAAGCAATATTACTCGACATTATTACTACTTAGGGTGTACCAAAAGTTCGAATCACGATGTTTAAAATTTATAAAACAGTAAATATTGAATGTTTTGCTATGGGAATATATAGTATTACGTATCGTCTTTTATAATCTATAGAGCAGCTCTATCTTGGATTTAGTTCTAATATCTTGCTAGATAAAATCTATAGTACTTATGGTCAAGAAAAGTTCCTGACAACATAAAATCAGAATAGGAAAAGAAAGAAATATTCGTAGTTTTATTTTATTAAATGCTCAAAATAATCACCATAATTTTCTATACAAAGTTCCATCCTTTCTAACAATTTATCGAAAGTCTTTTTAAACTTGTTTATTGGGATATTCTTCACTATGGTGGAACCTCCTGAGCCAGCGATTCTTCGTTTGTGTGGTCAGTCAAATTCCTCTTGATATAATCATTTAGCCAAAAGTCACACGATGCAAGATCTGGTGAATGTGAGATTATTTCGATACCTTTCTCTGTTAAATAATTAACAGCATCTTGATGAGTATGAGAACGACCATTATCCTGAAGCAGTTAATATTTTGTACGTGATGGTTTTCCTTTTTTTTATTTCATAACAGGTATGAGACAATTTTCAATATAGTAGTTGTGATCGATAGTCTTGCCTTTATCTACGTTATGTGAGTCTATGGGCTTTTTTATTTCAAACTGAATTCTAAAATCAAAAAAACCACACCAATTTCTTCCGAATCAAACTTTTCTCGCTTGATACTACGTAGTCTCACTAAAAACCCTTAGTCCCCCTAGTCCTGCAAAGTCCTCCTTAGTCCCCCTCACAAAAAGCTTAGTCCCCCCTTAGTCCCTTTTCAGGGGACTAAAGCCTATAGTACACAAAACCACAAGCACAGTCTCACCCTCACTCACGCGCCCACACCCGCACCATGGGTGTGGGTGTGTGTGTGGGTCCCAGACCCAGACCCACACCCTCAGTCACCCCCCCCCTCACTCCTAGACTCACGTTTCAGTTTGAAATCAAGTATTATTTTTAGTTGATAAATTCAGACTGAAATTAAATAGCCCATTGTATGCGTTATGTATAAGAACAGGACCAGTGAATTTAAAGAATAAGCAAAACAGTGTTCTAGGTTCAGATCTATTTCGACGAACAACGGTCCTTGGTGGTTCATTTTCACCAACCCAGGTAGAATTACTTGACTTCCGACCAATCTGTTTGTGATAAATCCATGTCTTATCACCAGTAATAATATCACATAACCGCCATGTTCTGAATTTCTCTAAATTTTGACGACAAATTCTAAATCGATCTTGTTTTTGTTCGTCAGTGAGTTGATGAGCAACCCAACGTGATTTAACTTTTCTCATCTTTAGACAATTATGAACAATTCGTTCTATTGTAACTCAAGATAGACCAGTCTCAACCGTAATATCATCATAAGTTGAAGGTGGGTCATCTTCAATAGCTTGTCGAACGCGCTCAATATTTTCATCTGTAAGTACCGAAATCGAATGATCAGGTTGAGGATTATCACTGGCATCTTCTCTTCCTTCACGAAAACGTTTCGCCCATTTTCTGACCCTTGGATATGATGGAGTATCAGGTCCCAATGTTTCTGTAAGTTCGTCGAAGATTGTTTTTGAATCTATTCCCAAAATAGCTCGAATTCTGATTTAGTATCGATTAAATTCATCAGTCATGTTTACTAGATCGTTTTAAAGTTGAAATCAGATTCTATCACGATTTGAAGTCGGGTGCGGTACAAATGAACTGACAGTGAACGACCTCTCATCTATATATACTATTGAAATGTAATATTCTAGAACATGACGTCATAAAATGTGACCACAGAGAGTGACCAATGGACAATATGGAAAGCTCCAGAATATACCTGAACATTGGACAAGGATTAGTTAAATCTTAGCATAGTCGCTAAATTATAGGCTTATTCTAGCATGGATGTTGGAACTAAATCCAAGATAGAGCTGCTCTATAGATTATTAAAGACGATACGTTATACTATATATTTCCGTAGCAAAACATTCAACATTTACTGTTTTATAAATTTTAAACATCGTGATTCGAACTTTTGGTGCACCCTAAGTAATTTTAGAAAAGTCATGTGTAATGTTATTTATCACGAATG